AGTTCTGACCGCTTAGTAGACAAGACAGAGAAAGAGGCTGAGTCGTAGACCTTGCCATGTTTTAGCAAACAGGTTCTCAGTCCTATTAGACACAATGTTTTTTTTTTAATAACACATATTTTGTAATGTTTTGTTATTATCCTGAAATGAGGTTTATGGATAATCTAGTTTATCTACCCTAATATTTAAAAATGAATTTAAAGTCATAAGTCTAAAGTCATAGTATAATAGATAAATTAAAGGTCAGTAAAATAATACCTATTTTAACATGTATATGTACAGATATGACTATACTGAAAGAGAAATGAAGTAACTACATGCGTATACCTATAGGAAGAATCACAATGAATGTAACGGCTACAAATGCAGCCTAGGTCAGATGTGTTGACTACTCAGTTACCAACAGCTCACTGATAGTGATGATAAGTGTTCCTAAGTAGTGAAGAAGAATTCTTAAATCCTGGAAAAAAAAAAAAAAGCATAATCTTCCCCCAATTTACTTGGACTTGAATTCTTGGGAAGTTAAGTGATATTGAATTTGAGCAAAAAATTCTTTGTATTTATACATAAAGTAGATTTTTTTCTAGGCTCACAAGAAGCTCACAAGAAAGTCTGATGAGATGTTTATAAATGGAACAGAATGTAGAACAGTCTTCACTGCGTAGAACTGTTCTGTACATTGCAGGACATTGAGCATCCTGATTTCTGTCCAACTAAGTGACAGATGATCCTCCCTCCCACCATCATTGTGACAACTCATCACTTTGGAAATCTGCCAACCACTTTTGGCATTATCTGCTAAAATCTACTTTGAGTTATATACACATCAGAAATGAGTACATATGTGCATCAAACGTTTTGTTCAAGAATGTTTGCAGCAACATTATTCCTAATAGCCCCAAATGGAAACAGCTCCAATGTACTCTCAGTAATGAAATGGATAAATAAATTGTGCCATCGTCATACAAAGGAATAATACGTGATGGTGAAAATGAACAAATCGCTAGTACAGAAACCATGGAGGAATCTTAAAACCATGATGTTGAGTGACAGAGTCACACACAAAAGAATACATATATGATTCCAAAAGTTCAAATACAGGCAAAACAAATTTTTAGTATTTTTTTGGCATAATGCCTGGAGGGGGAATGATGTGCATTTCTGTGGTACTGGTAGAGTTCTAATTCTTGATCTGGGTGGGGTTTACATGTGTGTTCACTTTGCGATAATCCATTATCAGCAGAGGGAAGTGAATGAAAACCGTTTAGCAGGATGAGATTTCTAAAGTGTATTAGAAAGGAGAAAAAAATTACAGTAATTTTTAAAAAGTCAACCCCCTTCCCAGCCCTCCGGCCCTCCATTTCCTAGGAGAGGAGCCCAGGAAAAGCCACACCGGACAAATTCCAGCTTAAACTCAAACCCTCATACAGATCCGAAAATTCCTATGTCCATCCCTAGGGGCGAAGAGTGTGCCCAGATTTGTACAGAGTGATTACAAAAGTGACCAAATCTCTTCGCTGCCCGGAGTAAGAGGAGAAAGAAAAAACAAAGTTAAAAAACATTAAGTTGCTTCCCAACCTCGCCGTCTGGAGCTCTGGAAATCACCCGGACCACCTGGGGCCCATCTTAGGGGGTGGGGCCAATGGCCTTCTTTGGTGTCCAAGCAACGGAGGGACCCTTTGTAGCATCCTAGCAACGCGCCCCGCCTTCCTCTAGGCTGGCGTACTCTCCCTCCCCTGCTCGTGGCTCCGGCTCACTCTCTCACTGAGTCTCCTTGTGTTGCCGACGACTTGGGTTTGCATACTGATTCTGGTGCCGTTCAGCTCTCGAGTTTTCTGCAGTGGAAGCTGCCGAGGGAGAGCCAAAGCTGGGAGGGGAGGGACAGCGAGAAAAAACGTTAAGAAAAAAATTTGCAAGGTTCGATAATTTTTAGATTTAAATATCATCCGAAGCTCCAGGGCGAGGGGACTGGAGGGTGGAAAAAATCACTTTTGTACAAATTCCATATAAAGAAGGAAGAAAAGAGACCTGCTGCGGACCCAGCAAGAACTGACTGGGGAGTGCAGATGTTGGACGCCATCATCCCTTCCCTGCAGAACCTGGGCAGGCAGGTGTTGCCTACACTGCCCCTGCTGAGTCAGGAGGGTAAGCGGCATGAGGTGGGGGCTCAGGGGCTGAACCTTCACCTGCTTGGAGGTGAGGCAGAAGACCTCCTTCCCTGTCCAGTGGAGTGGCCATGTTACCTTAGCCGCCAGCTGGTAATCACAGCAGGCTCCTGCTGGATCCTCAAAGACAAGTTCTTCATTGACTGCCATAATAAGGGATAGGGGCCAGCTGAAGATTTTGATTAAACAAGGTAATGTATATGCAGCGCTTAGCTCCAGGACTAGCACAAAGTAAGTGCTCAGTAAATGTCAGCTAAAAACAACCATTCCAAAAGGGGTCCTCAGAGTTCATACAAAAACATGGCTATTTTTATTGCCCTTGATATCTTGGGGTTGTGTTAAGAAAGCGAGATGATCATAAAAAGAACAGGGGATTTGGAGTAAGACCTGGAAGCTTCTCATAGAAAACTTACTAGGCTTGGTTAAAAGCATAGTTTCTTAGAAGAATCACCCTAAAGTGACAGCGAGATCTGTCTGCAAATGATAGGAGCCCCTGGGAAGAAAAGTGCTCTAGAAATAGAAGCAACTGTTACTATCAAGTCATTGTAACTTTGGGATATTGCCTAGACTTTAACCAGATGATCTGAGGAGATAAAATAATAGGAGTAGATGCATCTTCTCTTTCCTCTTCATCACTCCTATTTTTTTTTCCTATTAAAACAATTCTAGAAGAAGCATCATAGATAATGATATTATGGACTTAAAAATTTACCATGTTTATAAATATATATAATTTATTCATTTAAATAATTTTGAGAACCTATGCCCTATGTACCTATAATGCCTATGTGCTAGGCATTAGAGAAATGATGGTGAGCAAAAACCTTAGAATTCACAATCTAGTGGGAAAGATACATGTCAACCTAATAATCACAGAAATAAATATAAATTTACAATTAGTAAGTGGTCACCAGTGTCAGAAATGACTGAGGGGTCAGAGAGGTGAAAATTAAACACATCCATTGAGTTTATTGATGAGACCTTTGGTGACTTCAGCAAGAGCTTTATTGGTTGAATAACAGAAGCAGAAATCAAATTACAACTTATTAACTTTCACAAATGACCCATTGTAAAGGAGATGAGGATGAACTCCCAATCCCAGCAAAACACATAAATTCACTTTTCACCATTGTGTATGTGAAGTCCTGCTGCTTCTGTTTGCTTTACCAAAGTTTAATGTTGTATAATTATAGTACTTAGAAGGTCCTGTCATCATTTTACAGATGTGAACTGGGTGAAACTATTGAAAACTACACAGCTAGCAATCCATGGAGCCAGGACGGTCTTCAGCCATGCAGACTGATCTTTTCACTGCACTATGCTCTGGAAATATGTTTCTTTGTTCAAATCACTCTAATAATTTGTTTCATTTGTATACCAGTATTTCAATTTTAGAAGGTATTTTATAAAGCCAAGGAAGTCATTTTTTAATTTTGATATTAATATTTACTTTATTATTCTATAATTTACATAATGAGCACTTGATCCTTTTTTGTAATGATCATACATGAGATACAGTATTCCTGCTACTGGGTACTATGCTTTAAAATATAGTTTTGAGTGCACAAAATGTTTAGAATTTGAAGTCAAATGAAGGTTGAACTTTTTAATAGTGATTCTTGGTATTTCAATGTTTGATCAAAATAAGTAACAATACCAGCTTTCCTTAAAATACAAAAGTAGTATATTATTTAGTTTGCTTTTTAGACTGGAATAAAATTTTCTTTTGCTTTTTAGACTAGAATAAAATTTTCTTTTGTTTTGAGATACCCTCTCTGATACATTGGCATGTCAGAAAAAAGTTAGGACTCACAGTCTGTAAAATTTCCAAATCTATTCCAATTGAATTGCAGGGGCTGAAAATTACCTGAAGGGAATGATTTGCATGTTTTCCTTTTTCTTCAGTGAAAAATAGCAAATTTCAGTTTAGAATAATAAACTCTTATATAACGTTGCCTATTAGGTTTTATAGAGTAATACAACACAGTAGACTTGAATGTGTCATCCAAATGAAGAAAGATGATCCTCAAATTTTCAATTAAGCTCAGTCAGGTCTTTTCACGAGGGTTTGGTTGCAAGCTATATAGTTTCTCCTGGCCCTAATTAAGTCATCTCTTTTTGGCATAGATTGTTTTTCTGAAATTTGAGCTGCATATCATGAGTCCAGATGAAAGACTAAATGGTTTCGACCTAATAACTTTGAAAGGTCTCCATGTAAATCTGGATACTGAGATTCTCTATTATTAGTGAATTAATGATGTTTTTGGTCATGATGAAGATTTTAATTCAGTATATATAGTTGGAAATGGGTGGAAGACTTTCTTACTTCTTAGCAGCCAGCAGAATGTCTTTTTGTCTGTGGGGGTGGGAAGGAGTAGGGAAAACAATAGGATGGGAAGAGTAGAGGAAATACCTGATTATAGTAAGCCGTATATCCATGATTCAGAGCGAGACGTAGTATCTTGGCATTTGGCTCACTGTAGCATGCAGCACTTATTTTCTTGGAGTATGAATGACTTTTCATCACCCAAGCTGTTCCCAGATGTTCGTGACAGTCACTGCTACTTCTCATTGCCTAACCGGCTCCTTCCCTGACACAGTAATAAAAATACTTATAACTCTGATAGACTGGAATTAAAAGACTGCAATTTCGCTGCTTTTTGCGTAGTGGTTTAAACCATTAGGGGGAAAAAAAAGTTACACCAATAAATCAAGCAGTTTCCAAGATTAGATAAAAGAAATTGGTCTTATGTCATTAACTACATCTATGTCCTGAAATGGCAACCTGGTGAATGTCACTGTTCTTGATCTTTATTTTGAGAATTAAAACATACTCTTTTCATTTTGAAAGAGTTCCTCATTGAAAAGTATCTTCAATACACATAAGTACATTTGGAATGGAAATGTCAACACAGACATAATTATTCTCAATATTACTTATACCTAGAGTATATCTTCATATTACACATTAACACTTTAGTTATTGGCAACTACTTATTTTTATTTTATTTTTCACCACAGTGATTTTGAAACACAGCTCAGAACAAGAAAATAACCATAGAAGGCCTCCCTCTGGTCTTTCAAAGCAGATAGTGCAAAGTCTATTCACTGATTCAAAGTAAAGCTCGTTGGGTCTCTACTCAAAGATCTGTTTTTAAAAAATTATTATTTTAGACATAATATTAGTATATTTGTTGAAATCAAGAACACAGCAGATCAGAAGCAGTGAATTAGGACTGGGCAGGGAGCCTGCAGATCCTTGGTAGTAAAGAAGAGTGACAGCTGGTCGTCTAACAGTGACAAATAATGAAAAGCAGAATCAAGAATTAAACAAAAATCAAAGTATTGAGACAGTTAATGTACAGACAAGAGCCTTGTGTGTCTTAATGGCCATTGGCATTATTCTTGTGGTATAGATGGATATAAGAATAAATGTTCACATTAATCCAATGGAACAGATTTGTTGAATAAGTCATTAAGAAAAACATAGATTATACTTGGTTAACTTTATAGCATAAAGGGAGATGTGTAACGATCCTTTATTCTAGAAAGGTTTTCTTCAAAAATTTATTATTATTATTATTATTATGTTTTAAATTACATTTTTGAAACTTAAAAAGGAGTAAGCTTTAGTTACTCAGAAAATTAACTTTGGGGAATTACCTTATTTTCTGTTCTTTGTTTTTTAAATAAACATTTTATTATGAAAAATTTCAAATATTCATAGAACAGAATAGTACAATAAGTCACATATATCCATTACTAACTATAATTTTATAATAATTATAATTACAAGTATGATTTTGCTAATCTTGTTTTATCTATTTCTCCACCCTTTTTTTCTGGTGTGTTAAAAACAATGAATAGATTAGTTTTTTTTGTTGTTACAATGTGCTTCTTTTTAAAAAAATTTTTTTTATTTTTAACATTTTATTTTTTTACGTTTTTCCCCCCTCCCTCCTCTCCTCTTCCCCCTGGTAACCACTAGTCCATTGTCCATGTCCATGAGTCTCTGTTTGTTTGTCCTGTTCCTTTGTTGCTTTGAGGTTTATATCCCACATGTAAGTGATATTATGTGATTTTCAACCTTTTCTGTCTGGCTTATTTCGCTTAGTATTATTATTTCAAGGTCTATCCGTGTTGTTGCAAATGGCAGTATTTCATCTCTTCTTATGGCTGAGTAATATTCCATTATATATGTACCACAGCTTCTTTAGCCAATCATCTATCGTAGGGCACTTCAGTTGCTTCCATGTCCTGACCACTGTGAATAATGCCGCTATGAACATCGGTGTGCAAATATCTTTTCAAATATGAGTTCTCAAGTCTTTGAGGTAAATATCCAGTAGAGGGATTGCTGGATCATATAGTAGATCAATTCTTAGTTCTTTGAGGAACCTTCATACTATTTTCCATAGTGGCTATACCAATTTGCAGTCCTACCAGCAGTGTATGAGGGTTCCTTTTTTTCTGCATCCTCTCCAACATTTGTTATTACTGGTCCTGTTGATTATAGCTATTCTAACAGATGTGAGATGGTATCTCATTGTGGTTTTGATTTGCATTTCCCTAATAGCTAGCAATGTTGAGCATCTTTTCATGTATTTGTTGGCCATTTGTATGTCCTCTAGGGAGAAGTGACTGTTCAGATCCTCTGCCTATTTTTTTGATTGGATCATTTGTTTTTTTGTTGTGATTGAGTTGTATGAGTTCTTTGTATATTTTGGATATTAGGCCCTTACCAGAGGCATTGCTTGCAAATATATTTTCCCATCCTGATGGTTGTCTACCTTGTTGATGGTTTCTTTTGCTGAGCAGAAGCTTTTTGTTTGATGTAGTCCCATTCATTTATTTTTGCTTTTACTTCCCTTGCCTTTGAGGTCAAATTCATAAAATCCTCTTTGAGTCCAAGGTCCTTGAGTTTTGTTCCTATGTTTTCTTCTATGCATTTTATTGTTTCAGGTCTCATATTCAGGTCCTTCATCCATTTTGAGTTAATTTTGGTGTGTGGTGATAGACAACAGTCTAGTTTCATTCTTTTACAGATGGCTTTCCAGTTTTCCCAGCACTATTTATTGAAGAGGCTTTCCTTTCTCCATTGTATGTTTTTGGCTTTTTTGTCAAAAATTATTTGCCCATATAAATATGGGTTTACTTTTGGACTCTCGATTCTGTTCCACTGGTCCATGTGTCTGTTTTTCTGCCAATACCATGCTGTTTCAATTATTGTCGCTTTGTAGTATAATTTGAAGTCAGGCAGAGTGATACCTCTATCCTCATTCTTTTTCTCTGGATGGCTTTGGCAATTTGGGGTTTTTGTGCTTCCATACAAATCTGATAATTTTTTATTCTATTTCTTTAAAAAATGCTGATGGGATTTTGATGGTGATTGCATTAAATCTGTATAATGCTTTAGGTAATAAGGTCATTTTAACTTTGTTGATTCTTCCAATCCAAGAACATGAAATAACTTTACATTTCTTTGTATCTTCTTCAATTTCTTTTGATAGAGTCTTATAGTTTTCATTATATAGATTCTTCACATTTTGTTAGATTTATTCCTAAGTATGTTAATTCTGAATTAATTAGGAATTGCTGTTATTTGATTCTGCATTTCATATTTATATTTTTGTTTATTAGCACTGAGATATTAACACATGAATACTTACATAAGTTAAATTATTTTTGGTTTCTTTTGAATTACAGATGTCTCTACTATTTGGGGTCATGTGTCAGATTATGTGAAATGGCAGCTATCCTTACACAAGGTAGGATTAATACTTTAATTGTAATGTAGGAGTCTAAAGAATCTTCCTGCCTTAGTCTCGTATAATTTCGTTGGAAACAGGATAGCAGACTTTAGGGCTACCCAGTTAAACTTTCAGTCCTATGATTTTATGATGCTCATGCTTAGGACTTGTGGATAGTAGATTTAACAAACATGGATTTCATCCTTAGATAATGAATTTAGTGATATGAAATGTATCACTGATCAACCTGGGTGTATAGAAAGGAACTAGATGAATTCTGTTTATCTGTGATCCAATAGTTCCTAGCATCGCTCTAGAAGGATATAATGTTTCTTGTCTTGCCTTCTTGCAGGGAATGGATTTTAATTGAAAAATAAAAAGATAGGGACTGAACTCGACTTGCCAAATATGAGAAACTTTGCCCAGGGATGGACTATTTCTTGCTGTCAAATCTTGAGTTTGGGTGCCATAGAACTGGACAGAGATTTGGGGAGTTTAGAGGGAGCTAAGAGGTTGTGGAACTTTTATACCCTACTCAGAGGTCCCAATGTAACAGCCCTTGGACTGAATTCATCCTACAAAACTATTTTATTTGATCTGATGATTTGATTCAGTTATCACTTAAAATTTGGAGAGTTTATGTAAACTTTTGAATTTTTTTTCTCAAAATATCAGCAGATTTAACAATACCAGGGGTATGCACTCTCTGGCCACCATGTTGTCTGATCAGATACCTTCATTCACTTGCTTGAATTCTTTCTTGGCCCCTGTAGGCAGGAAAGAGTTTGTAACCCTTGATGTATGGTATTTCCAGGGAAACAAGAGACCCATTTTGAGAGCCAAAAGCATTTTCTTCTACCCATTAGCTAAGATCACCACACTGCAGCATATTCCTTGAATGCTGGGTTGTCTGATTTTAAGTGTGGGACATCAAGTTTAAAAGAAGGAATGAGAAAGCAGAAATTCTCATGACACTAAAAAATGTCACATGATTTAGGACAAGAGTTATCTTATATACAGATTAAAAGCAGTTATGGCATCCATACAAGCTTTCTTAGTCCTTGCAGCCTTTGAATGTTATGGAGATGAGTGATCTTATGTCATAAAAGCATTGTGGATTGACATATTACATTTTATACTAAATTTATTTGAAAACTTAGTCACAAAATGCTACAGCTGTAAAGAAATGTAGAGATCACTGAATTTTTAAATGGCTAAGCTTAACTCTTTTCATGTTTTTTGGATAACAGTAGTAAGGATTATTTTTATTCACCCCTTCAGTAAATTGTTGCTATTATTTTTCCTTCTTTTTCCTTTCAGGGCGTTCATATTCCAGGACTTGGAACTTTCACTTTTATGAGACAAAAACTTGATGTGGGAAACAACAAGTTTATTCTGATTCAGAGGCCCATGTTTATCATAGCAGAGAAGTTAGTGCAGATCCATGGACTCAAACAAAACAAAGTATATACTCCTGGTAAATATATTCAATTGTTAAAATTTTTTAGAGGGTGACTGGCCTAGAGATGAAAATGAAAGTGCAAAGCATAGGCAGTTACTGTTTTATTGGTTTCAGATTCGAGGGGCTCACTTTTCACATGGTACCTTTGGCAGAAGGAGGGGCTAAAGTAGAAACATAATATACAATCTTCTTGTAGGCCATTTTAAATCTCAGTAGCTTAAGAGATAGGCATGAGAAGACCTGATGTGGCATTTAGGCAAATTTATGTAAAAGCCGTATCATAGAGTTGTATAGACTTTACCATATTTCAGACCCTAAGAAAGTAAAAATGCTTATAAAGAAGAGTAAGTTAATTAGGGTTTCTGGTTTGGAGAATTACTGTCAGTATCAATTGTAAAAAAAGATCACTTTATTCATCATATATAATCTAAATTATTAAAATTTAAGTTAAAAGGTTAATAATTTCATAGAGTTAATGAATATCTTGTATACTTCTTATACCCTAAAATCTTCTCTCTTCCCTCCATCCCTCTTTTCTTCCCTTCCTTCCATACTTCCTCCCTCCCTGCCTTTCTCTCTTCCTTCGTCTCTTCCTCCTGCTAATATTTACTGAGGGCAAACTCTGAGTCCAGCCTTATTCCAGATGCTTGAGATATAGTGGTAAACAAAACAGACATGATGCCTGTCACAGGATGCTTACATTCCAGCTTCAGTGTGTATACTTTGTGACAACTGCACTAGTTACTTAGAGGCCTTTGGGGTTTCCTCCCTGATTCCTGGCTGTGTTTCTTTTGACCTTCCTTATTGTTCCCTCTGGCACCAGACTCATATCTGGATGAAAAGAGACAGTCTACTCCCAATGCCAACAGGTGAAAAAGACTGAAACTTTTGTTTTATGTTAAGTTCCCTGAAAATTAATTTTCAGAGTTATTTCCACCAAAAGATTATATATTGGAAAAATACAAACTATATTTAGAATTCATTATACATATATTCAGTATGATGGGTTTGATGAATTTTTTAGCCAGTTTTACCTAGAATTGAATGACAAAGGAAATATCCTAATTCATCAAAAGCCTACAAAATGAAATAAAAATAAAGCCAATTTTTTTTTCTTGCAGAAACATTTATGCCTTAGAATTAGAGCTTTTCTTCTATCTTGGGCCTTACGCAGTCCAAAAAAGTAGTTTAGATCCATAATTAATTTTTTCAGAAGGTTGAAGAAATTTCAGAATTAAACATATGTGACTGGATTAGTTTACAAGAACAATTCTTTCCACAGTTTAGCTTTGGTGTTATGATTCTTCATCATTAATTACCTAGGTATCAAATCGAACATTATATAGTGATTCTTAAGGATTATTAAGACATGGTCAGTGCTTTGAATAACTCAGAATTCAGCATGGGAGATAGATATATAAACAAATGATGCAAAATGGTTAAGTGCTGTAAGAGCAGCATTGATCGAACTGGATCAAATGCTAAGATTGCTTAATTCCTCTTGGAAATATGTAGGAAGATGACATGTGAGGAGGTCTTAAAGGATGATGGGACTTTGTTGTTAGAGCAACAGTGGAAGATATTTCAGGAACTGTATGAACAATTTAAGAATAAAGGAAAAAGTGAAGCTTGTTAAGGGTTTCTGTGTGACCAGGCATATGATGGTGGAGGCAAGTGGAAGGAGGTAAAAAAAATTGTTGGTAGGGGTCCAAATGTGAGGGGCCTTAAACAATGTGATAAAGACTTTGGAATTCATCCTATAGGCATTGAGGAACCATTGAAAGTTTTTGAGCAGAAGATTATCTGTACTGGTCCAGTTTTTAGTTTAGGAAGATAGTTTTTTTAATTATAGTAGTTTGCTAAAATATGGTAAAAGCCTGAACGAAGGCAGTGACAGTCAAGAGGAAGATGAAGGAATCTATTCATGAGACATTTCAGATGTAGAACTGATGGGATTCGGATACAAGTTGAGAGTATTGGGTAGCAAGAGGAAGGTGTTTAGGACTCCCATTTCTTGGAGAACAGATGAATATTCATGCCATTAACTGCCATAGAGAATGAAGAGGGGAATGGCAGGTTGTGGAGGCAAATATAGTAATGAGTTTGCTTTTGGACGTGTTGAAATTGAGATTCTTGTAGAGATGATTCCAGAGCTCAGGAGAGGGGTGGAGACTAGAGTCAAGATTTGAATAAGTTTACCCAGGAGAGAATATAAAGTAAGAAGAAGAGATAGCAAAGGATGAAATCCTGCAAACAAACAAACCACCATCTTATAAGAAATAGAAGAGGAAGGAAGCCAATGAAGATGACCAAGGAGGAAGAAATGGAGAATCAAGAGTGGCGTCATACAGAAGAGAATAGAGGGCATGGTTAACAGAAGTTAAAGAGAGTTCATGAGAATAAGATTTGCAAGTGTATATACAAGTGATATCCATTGGCTTGTCCATCATGAGATGATAGTGTCCTTACTGAGACAAGTACGCTAAAACACAGATTGCAGAGAGGCATTGGGCAAATGGAAGGGGAGAATCTAGAGGCAGGCAATATAACTTTTTCTTTTAAGAAATTTATTTTAAAAACTGAAATGGAGGGAGGTGGTATAGAATCACCATTAAGTTGAGCAGGAGACAATGGGGAAGCTTGTGTCTTATAGAGCTGTTAATCCTCATCATCCAGCAGTATTAGACATTTGAAAGGCTAGAAATCAATGCTTGCTGAATGATTGTTTAGAATGTTCTGTTCTTCTCTCTATCCTGTTTCCTCTATCAGTGGACCTTGTTTACTGTCTCTCTTTGGATTTCTCATGTCGATCATTGCTATTTATCCCTTTTCTGATTTGTGGACCTCACGTAGCTCCCACATCTGTTCTAGTTAAATAGACTCTCCACTTCCTTCAAGCTAGATACAGCAATAGTCCTTTGCAATGCCCTTTATGGACTCATTAGAGAGAAAAAACTTCTTGAAAGTTATTTAGTCTGACATCCTCTGATAAGGCCCAATTTTATTTGAGAGGTAACTTCTGGTGAAGATGACTATCCTTTCAAAACACTTAATGTTTGTAGAAATTTATTATCATTTAAAAATGGTATTATGACTGAAAGAATTGGGCAAATATTGTTGCAGCATGTCCCGAAAGATAAGGAGGCTAAAAAATTCAGAAAACCCTCTGATAAAGAGAAGCAGTATTACTATGTCTCAAAGAGAAAATCAAAAGCTTGTCTGGAGTATTGTTTAGAAAGCTTATGGTTTTTATTTTGAGTAACAAACAAACAAACAAACAAACATATTTTTAGGGAAAATTGTTCTGATTAATATTTATTAGTAACCAGTTATTGTCTGTGGGAATAATATTTTATTGACTACAACTGAAGGCTTAACACAGACAATTCGTTTTTTGAATATTAAGTGAGAATCAGATAATTATTTACAAGTGTATATGATATGTCCTTGTTGTAATTTCCATTTCCTTTCTCCTACACCAATTGTCTTTTTTTTCCTCTAGGTGATATCCCAATTGTTCCACTTAATTTTGTCATGATATCCCTGGAGGGTCCATTTAACAGGAATACAGTGGAAGGATGTGTGAAGGAGACGTTGCTTTTTTTATCACAATCCATTTCCATCAAACAAAATGTGGAGTTTACATTCAAAGGAATTGGAGTCCTCATGATCAGAGATGGCAATGTGAAGATGAGATTTTATAAGGACTACCTTTGTACAGTGGATAGAAGTGGGGCTTTGGCAAAAGCCCTAACAAATGTAAATTACTGTTTTCCTTCATCTAACCCCTCTCCTCATTGTAGCTCTGAGTCATCTGGGTGTCATCATTAAGGAAAATTCAGGTTGACATATTTTAAACGTCAGTTACCTCAAGTGCAGAGAAGTGCTCTATTATAGATGATAACTCTTTGACAAAAAGGTTAGAAGGGCAAAGGAAATTTAAACTAAGTTCTGAGTCAGTGCCGACTAAAAAATATAAATAGTAATAGAACCCTTATAATTCTGAACATTTTATAGTACTTTATAGTTTAAATAGTTCTTCCACATATAATATTTAATTTGAGCCACAAAATGTTATAAAGCTGGCATTATTATCATCCTGATTTTACAAATGAAAAAAATGAGGGCTCACAGAAGTCATGTGGGAAGCCTGAGGTAGAATTGAAATTCAAGCCCAGACTTTCTAATCGCGCTTTTTTTTTTTTTTCTGGTTATACTATTTTATTTTAATGAGGGTCTATGATAAAATCTAATTCAAATCATGAGGATGGATCTTTAGCTTTTAGTTTGTCAAACTGCGGAAGAAATTTCATAATTGATCCTATTGTTGTTAACCATTAAGTACTTGGTGTGGCCTTCATGTTAAGTTGTACATAGCAGAGTTTAAGGAGGCAGCGAAGCAGTCAACCAGCAGGACTAACTGAATACTTAGGGTGCCTTAGGTGCACTTCTGAGAACTAACAAAATTGGGATAAATGAATTGGATTATCCCAAATGTCAATCCTGTGTCTCCCTAGAGCAAAAGCCTGACTTTTAAATGAGAAAAATCTATAAAATGAAAGGCTATAAATATGGTCTAATTCTACTCTCTAATTTCTCCTTTCATGGAGATCTGGGATGGGGATTTAGGAGGTAGAGTTGTGCAGAATGAGGCTCTTAGTGTTTTCTCCATGATCTGGCTTCAATCGAGATTGCTGAGAGGGCTGCCAACCCTGTGTGTGGAAAATAGAAACACACATAGGTATAACTCGCTCTTTTTCATGAACACACAAGGCAAGATTTGCAAAATCAGAAGCAGGACCAAAGCACTGGCCCATCTCTAACCTTCAGGGCTTCTACAGAACTCTATAGCTTCCATATGAGTCTTAAACGAGAGGATAATGTTTTAATGGGCCTGCTGCACTCTAAGACATAACTTTTAAGAGCATTTTCCAAGAGAACTAGTCTCGAGAGACATTCTCTGGAAAAAAAAAAAAAGGATTTGGAGGCCAAAGTAGACGAAAAACAGCTGCATATATCATCCTCATGAATAGAGGCACCAAGTGGGTTGGCATGTTAAAGGATCTGAGGAGTCTGGCTGGAAAAAAGAAGCCACTTCAATTGCCTGAATGTATTTAATCATGGAACTTTAGGTTAATCCAATACTCGTTAACATCTCTAAAACACATTTTGGGAAACTGCTGTAAAGTGGTAAGAGGGATTGTTTTTCCTCAATGTCTCATAACTTAAATCTAAGTGCTGTCCCGTAGCATAGTTGTCTTGGGAAGCTGTGTGCTTATTTCAGTGATGCTGCTTTTGCTCAAAACATTTTTAAAACGTCTTTTTGTGAATTTCCTTCAAAGCCTTTTATAAGCCATAACATTAATCCAAAAATAATAATTTTATATATTATTCTATTCTAGTATAATGTAATAATGTGCTTATTATATAATGTAATGATAATTAATTCTAATAGCTATTTGTTGAGCAATAGCCATTTCCATAGAGTACCTCATAACATTTCTATAAACTAGATCCTATTATTATTCCCAGATACCTAGAGTCTAAAGCTATACAGCTGTTAGCAGTGTGGGGATTTGAATATGAGTCTACCTGAATCTATAGCCCTTCTTTTAAAATGTGAAGCCCCGTTTTAGAGTTACTTGGGTCAAGAGTGGAATTAGTCAGTTTACTCATTTTCCTGGTAGTTTCAATAAATTGGCCATTCTTTTAAAGATGTGTAAAAAAAGCCGTCCACTCTGAAGGGAATTTCTAAAGAAGAAATATTTTGAGAAAAGGCAGCATCAATAAAATTGATAAGTGACTACCCAGGGTGACTATTTTGATAAATGAGATCATTCCTTATTAAATTTTAAGCTCTAGACTTTAAGCACAAAACAAAAATAATGGTGAAGATTATCACAGTAGCCTTGCCTCTGAGATATCCTGTAGCTTTTATTTGTCTGTGGCTCAGACCATAGTCCTTGTATAATCCTTCTCTGTCCCTGTCCTCCAGAGGCCTGGCACTGTGGACTCGGTGTTGTCTAGCAGAGACACCTTCAGGAAACAGCCCAACAGCGTACTTGCATTTCCAAGGTCAGTGTTTTACTCCATAGGCTCCTCCAGGCACCAGCAATTCTAAGTCAAGAGGGGTTGACCTAATTTGGCAGTGTTTCTCAATCTTTTGTAGCTCATGCTCCTTTTAGTAACAGATTTACCCCAAGAGTGCAATGGGCATTATAGGTGGCTGCTGCTGACAATGACTATAATAATAAAATAATAATAATAATAATAAGGAATAATAATAATAATTATAGTTATCTATGAAGCACGTACTAGATACCAGGTACTATTAAGCACTTTCTTAATATTATTGCATTTAATCTCTACTACAACCATTTCAGATTTTATCCATTTTATAGAGGTCCAAAATTAATTAGAATTTTTTTTTTTTTAAACAAGTGTAGTAACATGTTACAGTATTAAGAAGAGTGGGGTAAGGGTCAGGAGACTTGAGTTTTATTTCCAGTTTGGCCATCATTCACTCATTGTGTGCTCTTAACTGTGTTCTTAATTTCTGTGCCATTAACTACTGTGCATTTCAGATGGAAGATGTTTGGGGAATACCAACCAGCTTCCCCAAGTATTATTTTCTCATGTTTATTGAGTCTGTAACATCCTCTTGTATTTTGTTCCAGGAGGGAAGGACTGTGTGACACATATCTCAGCAAAATCAGTGTGAAGACCAGAATAAGCCTTAGAGATTAGTTAGTCCAACCCCCTCCTTTTGCAGATGTACTGGCCATACGACTAATGAGTAGCCAAGCCAGAAATAAAACCATAGCTCCTGAATGTCCTCATGTTCTTTCCATTGCGCCCTGTTGCCTTATTAAAAATAAATAGTGGATTCAATTAATTTAACTTGATTATATTTTGGAAGGCAAATTTGGCTGTCCCCTTGGACATATTTTGGCTTAAATACTCTGGGAGGGAAATAATTGCAGTGAGTCAAGGAATAAAGCCCCTATGACAATTAGCCTAGAAACAGGACTCAAATATTCAAAATAATTGTAGGTGTTTTATCTGAAGTTTGGCCCCTGAATTAACTGTAAGTACCCCCCTAAACTTTAACCCAGCACTCCATATCTGAGACCAAAGCAAATCTACAATTAAATACAAACCGAACAGACTCCTTCTTCCAATATGCCTTTGCAAGTCCTTCACTTTTGCCTGGGAAAGGATGGAAAAGTGGGGAGGAGAAAGAATGAAAAGAGTCCTGGGTATTCTCAGGCATACTCTGCCTACCAGGCTATGAATCCTTGCCTTCAAGCTACTCAGCAACTACCTTTCACGATATCATCCTGGCATCTTGTTACAGAACTAGAAAAGACAAATTCAAACTGAAACCAAAACCAAAAACCTAAAATCCAGGTCTTCAGAGCACTGTATAAAGAGCCACTTTTAAGCCCTCAGTATAGAGGGAGAAGGTCTTGATCAGCTCCTAGACTTAGCCTCAAAAAGAGTAAGTCGATGATTTGTACTCAGCAAATCAAAGCACTCTCCCCCTTGAGAGAAGTGGGCTTATTTCAGAATCATTGAACTAAATGGGTTGCTTCTCAGAACTGAGAGTTCACACAGTCACCTATTCAGGTCCAGATGGACAAACATCTTGGCTTATTCCTAGAATTAGGCTCAAAGAGATGGAAAACAAGTCACCAATGGAGACCGTTGTAGAAGAGTGTGGAAAGAACGGACAAAGGAAATGCAAGTTAAAAGACCAGACAGATAAAGAAGAAGGTGTCAGAGGTAAGCCGGTGGTTTCTCGGTATAATCTATCACTCTTTATTGTTTATGAACTTAGCCATATTGCTTAGGAACTCTTATGCCCAAAGTAAATAGAGTTAGATTCATGAATAATCTCTGTATTATGCTTTTAAACAAACATCTCCTATTCCTGAAATTTTATATCTTACCATAACCATTTTCTGACTCTCAGGCTCTTATACTGTGATCTCTTTGCTGGCTCTCCTTTGCTTAAAGAGGTCAAAACTCAGATTCCTACAGGGTTTAGGCAGGTAACATAAATGCATAAAGTAGGCTGGATATAACATGATAGGGAGATATGTTAGCATAAATAATAATTTTTATGAAAAATGAAGAGTCGTTAATTTTATATCTTTGATATCTAGCTTAATAGAAGATAATGGATTCTCATATCTGTGCCTTCATTTGATCTATTATGATGTTGTTTTGGTTGAAGCATATGAAGAAAACTAGAGCTTCAAAGACTTTTCTAAAGGATCCTAGGGATCCATGGAGGTTGCCAGACTACCATTTTGAGGACTGTTCCTCTATTGGATTGTTGATTTGTGGAAATGTGAGCCAAATGGTATCAAATTTTCCGATTTTTCAAGAGAAGCAGAGATGACATGTGAAATCTATTGATTGTTAAATGTTGGCAACTAATTGACATTGAAACAAAAAAGGCTATTTGGGCCAAACGAAACATATCAATGTGTAAACATTATCTTCTGGACGTTGGTTTTGCCACATGCAGCCTACGAGATTACATATAAACTTTTGGCCTAAGATTCACATGCTTTCATTTCCTTAGCCTCATCTGTCACTATTCCCTACAGACTCCTTCTTTGAGCAAAATTGTCTATTCATGTTCTTCTAACCTGCCTTGCCCTTCCCTGACCTCATGCTTTTGTTCACTTTTTTTCTCTTGCCAAGAATACCAAGAATTCTTTCTATCTATTCCAATCCTTCTCGCCTCTTAGCACCCTTTTCACATCTCACTTCCTCCATGAACACTCTTTTTCGTTACTGAATTCTGAAGTGGCCTCTCTCTTCCCTGAACATGTCAGACCTTTAAAGATTGCACCATTTGTTTGAGATTTAGATATTTTGCATCGTTGTCCTGAGCTGCTGTTTATGTAATGCATGTAAAGCACTTAACACTGTTGGCATGTAGTAAGACCTCCACAAATGGGAGTTCTCATATTTTTCTGTTTATACCTTATTTTTCTCTCTAAATATATCTATTGAAAGATCTTTAAGGGCCAAGACTTGCCTCTTAGTAATTTCTAAAGTGGCGAGCCAGTGCTTTGCATGTAATAAGTATATAGTAAAAATATATTTTTTTAAACCACAGGAGTGCAAGGACAAAAATTTAAAGATAAGAAAGTGTATCTTGTGTGAAAAATTTCCCTGGAAAAATTATAAGTTTTAAAAAATCTATGTTATATCCAAGGGTAAGGAGGGAGAGGGGAGCGGAGGGATAAATGGGGTAAAAGGGGTCAAATATGTGGTGACAGGAAGAAATCTAATTATGAGCAGTGAACAAGCAATGCAATACATATATATATTGCCATATATATATGTGTGTGTGTGTGTGTGTGTGTGTGTATATATATATATATATAGCCATATATATATGTGTGTTTGTGTGTATATATATGCTTTACTGTTGATTTGTATACCTGAAACTGGATTTCGTTAACCAATGTCACCATAATAAAAATTAAAAAAAAATCTGTGTTAAGTACAAATCATCCTTTTAAAGTTGAAAGGAAACTCACTTTCATTCATTCTACAGAGATCTTATCACCCGAGAGACTTCCAGATAGCCAAGCTATTTCCTCTGCCAAAGCGACAGGTGTCAACTTGCCGAACAAGTTTGAGCATAGTGGGAGTGGTGGGAAGAATGTGAACCCTGAAAGGTAATGCATTGGTATTTTTTTCTATTGTACTTTACTAAGTTTTTTTTTTTTGAGTCATTTCTTAATGTAAGAAATTTAGATAAGTGTTTATTCATTCCTTCATCCAGTATTTTTGAATACACCCCATGTGCTAGTGGGAAAGACAGATATGCATAGAATGATAAATCCAGTAGGATAAATGCTATGACAGAGGTGGAACCAAAATAGCACAGGGGAGGGAACATCTAAAATTTTTTTTGGATTTAAGAAAATTTCCCTTGTTGTTTTCTGAGTGCTTGGATATTATAATATGACACAGTTTCATATGTAGATCAAATTGGAAAGCAGTTTTGCCAGACATGGCTGGCACTCAATAAATGTTCCTTGAATAATGAATATATTGTAATTATGATATCCATGTTGTCTTCTAGTCACGTTATGTCAAAAAATTTGTATTTTCTTCTTTTACCTATGAGTAGGATACTTTTTAAGATCTCAAATAAGTCAACCATACTCAAGTATTTATTGAGTACTTTTATGTATTTTGTACTGTGCTGTCAACTTTCAATTTATTAATGTGTCACAATGTGTCAGCTATCATATGTGCGATTTAGGTTCTTTATGAATTACTAAAGTCATGTTCAAAACCCTAAGCATACTTGTTTTCAATAATGTCACTGTTATGAAAGATAATTGAGAGTTAAATGTCTAGTACTTTGTAATTTAGTTCAATCCAACAAACGTTGAGCACCATCGTGTGCCAGGCAGTTTCTTGACACTGAGGATACAGAGCTATAAGACAGATAAAATACATATAAACCTACTTTCATAAAACTTATAGAATTGTAGGGAGACTAATGCTAAAGAAATAACATATGTGGTGAAAATGACAAAAGAAAGTACAGAGGCTGCAACAATGGGAAAGTAATTAATTGTTAGGGATTGTTAGTGAAGGTTTTCTATAGAAGTTGATCAAAAAATGATTTTTGTGCAGTAATACATGTTTATCACAGAAATTTTAAAAAATGAGAAAAGCAAGGGATATTAAAAATCACCCACAATCCCACTAAATAAAGGAAGCTTTATTAACTTTATGGTGTATATTCTTCATTTTAATGCATATACAATATGTACATATATTTATATTTGCAACATACACACACATTTTAAACAAAACAGATCATCTGAACCTTTGTTACATTTAACAATGAGTTTGAAGTTCCCCATGTCTAAAACACAAACAAATGATTGCACATTATCTTATCAATTAAACCTTTTGTTTAATCTCCTATTGAATATTTAGATGATTTTTAGTTTTTATGTTATAAATAATGTGATAAATATAATTACACATAATTCTTTACACATACTTGAATGTTGTATGGAATAAAAATTCTGAAATGAAACCATTTTTCATGCTTTTGATGCACATTACCAATTATCCTCAGGAAAGTTGAACCAAATTATCTTCCTAGTAGCAATAAATGAGAGACTCCTAGTACTGGACATTGTGCCCTCAATGGCTTCTCACCCAGATCAAAAGCCAACGGCATTATTATGGCCTACAAGATCCTGCCTCATCTCTGATCTCTCTTCTACTTTTTGCCCATTAACTTGTCTCCCTTTAGCCACAATGAACACAGGCATGCTCCCATGTCAAGGACTTTGTACTTATTTGCTCTGTCTGGAATGCTTTTTTAAAAAATATATATCAGATATCTCTATTATTTTTTCCCCATTTCCTTAAGGTATTTAGTCGAATGCCACCTTCTTGGCGAGAACTCCCCAGGCCATTCTATTTATGGTTTAATACTCCATTCCTTCAGCACTGCGTAGCACTTATCGTCATTCAGCATTTTACATAATTCACTTATTTATCTTGTTTATTGGCTGTCTGTTTGTCCCCATCAGGATGTTAATTACATAAGGGATCTTTGTGTGTGTGTTGTTCTTCACTGTATTTCCCATGCCAAGAACAATGTACATAGTTAGTACTCAATAAATTTTTGTAGAATGGATAAATTTTATCCCCATTTTACAGAATTGGTAACTGAGACTTTGCAAGATTACTCAGCTCATTTAATGCCGGCCAACTTGTAAGCAAAAAATCCAGGACTCAAACCCAGGTTTATCTGACACACGGAGTAGGCTCTTAACCTCTATACATATAGATACTTTGAAAAAAAACCGCTGAAATATTTTTTTCTCTCTCTTATATTTATACTTGCCTCTAAAATTAATATTGCTTTAGATGTTAGACTGTATTAAACATTAATGTTGCATTTTTTTTTTATAGCTTATCATGTCCAGGATGTCTGAAAAATGACAATGAAATGAAGCCTAAAATTCCTCCAGCCACTGCTTGCCAGGATCATAATAAGGCAGGACAGGTATAGTGTCTTCAAACAAACAAAATCCAATCAGAATCTTCCTCTGACTTCTGTTTCTCAGAGACTTCTTGGAATCACTCTTTCTTTCATATATGGGTATGACTCAAGCACTCAGAAATGCAAATTGGACTATGATAAATCAATCTACTAGTCAAAATTGATTAGTTAACAGAAATAGGGTTGGGAAATCTCTTACTAATTTTCAGTTGCTATTGATACTTTTTCAAATGACAGTTAATAATTCTTCTCAAATATTTGTAGGTCCCACTCTGCAAATCTCATTTTGCTAATTGTCATTAACATATTCTTTTAAAACTTGTGCCTCTTGATACATCCAGCCTTTGGAAAGCTTGTGAAGGGAATGTGAAGATAAAAAAGGAAAAATTAAAAATTAATTTTTCCTAAAACTTGATATTGTAGGAGATGTGTTACATATGTTTGCAACGAGCACAGCGAAATTTCCCACTGTACTACAGTGAGGAGAGGAAGAGGAGAGAGATGGAAGATGAGCGACTCATACAGCAGTATCAGATGCTGAAAGATCAAGAGGCTCTCTTCAAATGCCAGGTAGTTCAGCACCTCAGTTAAAGTGTTTAACAAGAGACAGTAGAACATGATTGTAAAGTGCTATTTAAAATGTTCCATCATATGTCTGTATTGTAACGTTTAATCATTTGCTTACCGCTGGACTAAAACTTAGATTGTGTCCAAGTTTTCACTATTAATAAAGAAAACTGGGATGAATATTCATGCAGCTAGATGTTCGCACCTGTCACTGATTTCCGCCCTCCCCACCTGCATAAGGACTGAGTTTTAAAGATGGAATTCCTGGATTTATATGGCTTTGTTTTTGATTTCTGATAAAATAAAATCCTGGTCAAGGCTTTTTCCTCCAAATTCATGGCTTATCTCAAGAAGCAAATACAGAATGGCACCTTCACATTTGCACTATCCAGATTTCTGTGGTCTCCAATAATTGATTCTACTGCCCTTTCCTGTATTTGTGATATCAGGTAACCACTTATGAAATCTTTTATTCCTTCTTAGTATCCCTGTAGAGGTGTTACCTAAAGTGCAAGAACGGGAAATAAAAAACCTTCCCAACCCACTTTTATAAATCTATGAAGATATCAGAAAGTACCATTGCCTCCAAAACACAGGCTTCTACCTTGGTTGGATTATTTTAATGTAATAGAATCAAAAATTTTAAAGGCTCTATTTCAATATGTTTTCTCCCCCCCTCCCCACCCCAAAGATGAGAAATCTGGCTATTAGAGAACAGAATCAAAAAAATGCTGCCTATAATCTTGGAGTTGCTGAAGCTATGCGAAGCCACAAGAATGAGAAACCTGAATTTTATGTAAGAGTCTTTTCAGAACTTCTATTGCCCCATCTGTGAATATTTAGATCTACTCTCTATTTTTCATGAAAAAATGGTAAGCCTACAGAAAAGTTGTATAATTTTCTTTGAGTCATAATTTTGAGGACATGCTTGGAAGTAGAACTCAATAGATTGAGAAATTGCTCCAGACAGTGGCAGTTTTGCAGCTTATTTTATACATTTAGAATCAAAGGAGAGAGTGTAAGGAAGGTTACATGAAATCCACTGGTGGTAGATTAAGGAGGCAGGAAAAAGCAAAGTGGGGAAGTTTCTAGGATAAAAAGCAAAATGGAGAAACACATACTTCTTTTACACTGGTGGGTACAGATAGTTAATAATGAACATTTACAGCACACAGAGAAGGTGTGTGGGGAGCAATATAGCAATGAAGGGTTCTGTGGCCTTGTGCTCTGGTGCTAGCAGCTGTGCCTTTAAGGAGTAGGAAAAGAAAATCACTCTGACATTTCAAAGGTATATTATTTTAGATGCATAAGAATAAGGGACAGAGCTCACTTAAGGTAAAGATGAACCTTTGCTAAGCAAGCTATAGGCCTGGGACGTGACTACCTGCTATGGCCTGCCCAGTTGGAATTTGTGAACAGACTTTCCTGTGTGGTTAACTTTTGGTCACTGAGTTTTGTAAGGCCTGCTTTGTGCTTTCCCCCCAATCCCACCCCCCCGAGCTTGACAGATTTAGTATATGGCCCCTTTTTTATTCACACTGTTTTGCAGGTTGTGCCATCTTTTTTAAGCGGCAGAGGTGAAAAGTGGGTCGTGCAAGTTCAAAGCTTCCTTTTAGGGCCGGAGTGGCCCAGTGTCTGCCTGCACACCGTTCACGATACATTTCCTATTAGTCACTTCAGTGCTTGTTAATGGTAGAAATTCTCAACCAGGACCTGGAGTGGATGGTAGGGGACAGTATACCAAAGTTCTGTCCCAAGAGCAGCTTATCTAAAGAGAGAACCAGCGTCACCTGGGAGCTTGCTAGAAATGAAGAATCTAGGGCCCCACCCCAGAATGGGAATCTACGTTTGAATAAGATATTTAAGTGACCTGTAGGTGCATTAAAATTTGAGGAGCTCAGCTTTAGACGAAGCTGAGCCACCTGCTTTGTCATCGAATTAATGTTTTCGATCATTAAGTGCCTACCTCGACTTCTGCCTGTATCTTTCTCCCTTCATCTCACTATCTAGTTGGTAGTCTGATACTCTGGACATAAATCTAATAAAATATATTGTCTTTATTCATCATCAAACATTTATTAATGAACTTCTATGTGCTGACCACTGTGGCTAGGACTACAAAGATGAAGAAGACAAGGTTCCCTTCTAAAGAGATCTAAATAAGATAGTGGGGGAGAAAGGTTTAAAGAGACAACAGTGTGGTATACTAAATGTTATGATAAATCTTTGAACAAGGCACTATGTGAGCAAAGAAGAGAGTCACTTAACCCAGACCAGAGATCTGGCAAGACTTCCTGGTAAATGGAATTTAGGTAAAGAAGTGAATGGAGGAAGAATCTTCTCAGCAGGGGCAGCAGGGTGAGAGGGAGGGAGAGCACGGTGCTTTCGAGATTTAGGCATGATCTCTCTTTCCTCTTAGATATAAATTCCACCTTAGTATCTTCTCTTTGATATATCTGTAGACATCGTAAACTTTGAAAGACTAAAACAGAACTTTTGATTACCCTCCTCAACCTGTTCTTCTCTCAGCCTTCCCATTTTAGTAGGTGTCATCACCAGGCAGACGGTTGTACGTACCTCATGCCTAGGAGTGATTCCAGATTCCTCTTCCTCTGTCCAACCATCCTCAGGTCCAGTTGCCTTCCGGCATCTCTTCACGTCTCTTCATCTTCAATGTTACTCTCCTAGTTCGAGCCACTTTACAAGGCTGGACTTCTGCCAATACCCTCCCTTGTCATTTAGCCTTCTTGCCCTTCTATAATCTATTGTCCACGCAGTGGCCAAAGCAGTCTTTCAAAACTATTAACCAAAACATGTTGTTCTCCTGTTTAAAGTCGTTAATGGCCTCCCATTTAATTAAAATGTAAACTTACCTTGTTCTAGCCGGTCCTATTAAATGGTCCCCCGATTCCCTCTTTGAGCTCATCTATTTCTACTTTCCTCTTGCTCACTATGCCTCAGTCACATGGACCTTCTTTCTCCTTATCAAACATGTCTGGCTTAATTCTGTCTAGTGTCTTTGCACTTGCTGTTCTTTCTGTATAAGACACAGGTCTCTTGATATTTACAATGGAGGTGATTCGGTCATCTCTACTGAAAAACCTTCCCTAATAACCAACCAATTTAATCCTATTCCCACCCAGTCACTCACTATAATAAGGGCTTCAAATCACTTATCACTACCTTATATTATCTGATGTGTTATATACTTGTTCACTGTCTGTTTCCTGCACCAGAATGCAGGCTCAATGAGAGTGAGGCACTCTGCGAATCTCTGTTTTTGGTCACTGTTGAATCATCAGTGTCTAGAATAGCCAAGCCTAGAGTTAAGTGTTCACTTCTCCCTCTTCCTGCCTCCTCTCTGTCTTTGCTCACGCTTTTGCACTCACTCAGAATTCCTCCTCCTTTCCATCTCTGTGTGTTGTATGTCTTAGGTCAGGACCTAGTTTATTAAGTCCTTTTCATCTCTCTCTCAGATAGTAGGCTTTGGTCAGTTCTGCTCAGATTTATCTTTGAGCACATTCACATTATTCTGTGGGTCCCTGCAACACTAACATTAATCAATGTGTTGAGGATTGGACAAATATCATAAATTAATACTTTCTTATTGATTTTAGTTTTTGGAATTATTACCTTTATTCTTTGTTGTTTTTTGGTGTTACAGAATAAATAAATTGCTTCTCTTTCTCTCTAGAAATCCTTCCTATTTGATAAACGGCCACTCAGTCCTGAGATTAATGCTTTAAGGCAAGAAGAATATTTCCAAAGTCTCCTGAAACAAATGGATAATAGACGGGAAAAAGAAAAAAAACAAAGACAAAATACAGAGTTGATGGACCACCTAGAACAAGTGCAACTCACAAAGGAGTGAGTCTGGCTAGCCACATTCTGAAAAACATTCAGAATTTTCATGTGAAACTTATTTTTATGTGGGATTGAATCAGCATCGACAGTTTAGGGCACTATAAACAACTGAGCAAATTAACCTAGTCTAAAGGCAGTACCATAACATAACATTTCATTAGAAAAATGAAAAAACCATCATTATTATAATTATCATTACAGCAATGATTGCCAAGCTATAATTACTTTAATTATAGAGTATCGTTTCGTATTGTTTTGTGATTACTAATATTGGTAGGTGGGGGAAGGAGCTTGTCTTGAGTGTGGCATCCTTCCACGCTATTCCCAGGTGCTCAAGGCAAAGCTGAGGTTTTATTGTAAGTCTGTAGGGGTGTCCTATGGATCCCAAGGGCAGGAATGTATGGAGACTAAAAAGCCACAGAATAAAAGCTTTCCTTCTTCTCATGCTCACAGCTCCTTAAATGACATTGTCTTTGTTCCAGCCCAAATGGGGATTAACGTTAGTCTCAATTGCAAATTTTCAGGAAAGAGAATCTGATTTGTCCTACTTGAGTCATCTGGGGCCCAAGGTAGGATCAGGGCCACAGAGTTCAAACATGCCTAAGGTGGCCACACCTCTGCTACTGAGGTGACAGAACAATAAAGGCGGCTACTCCGGTGTTAGAGAGACTCCTCAAACAAATAATGAGCTAGTTTCTATGACCAAATAAATGGCATTTCTATATAACATATATGTTCCATTATACTCACTTTGCAGATCATGTGGGTTCCCTGGAGGTTGCATATAATAGAATCATAATTTATAATAGAAGAGATCACTTTTCTTAAAAAGGGGTCTTATGATGAATTATTTTACAGAATGAATAGATACCTCCTGCTTCCTTGTCTAAGATTGTTTTAAAGTATGGGGGGAGGAGGAGTGCCTGTCTTAGCAGTAGTGCATTTGTACAATGTGGTTGGTCACCTGCTTATACTTGTCCTGTCTCTACTGTGTTCCATACATTGTCCATTAGCCTATGGAGTCTAATTACTATTTTCTTTCTTAAAATGAAAGCTCCTAGAAGGAAATGTCAGTTTTTATTCACTAGGCTCTTATTCTTATTAATGCTTGATGTTAATCTGTATTACCAAAGACTCTGCCACAAACTTTACATTCACCTTCTCTTATCCTTAACTGCCAGACTTGCCTCACAAAGAGCCAAATATATAAAAGATAAGATGGAAGAAACACAGTGTTATAGGAGAGCTTTGGATGCACAGGTGAGGGAACAATTATTATTTTTAAAATTGTGCAGTGCTTCAATAACATTCTGAAATATGTATAAATACTTTAATGTTATGAATACCCTTATGTGTTATCCGTCTGGTGGTTTTTGAGGCCCCTGTTCCTTCCTCTAAGGTATTGGTGTTTTACTGTGCTACTACGGCCTTGTGCATAAAGTTTATTCCCTGGTATTATTGTAATTTGCATTATGTGTGTCCTTGTTTCAGATAAAGAACAAACCCCCACAACTGCCCATGTTTGAGGCAGACTCTTTTGAGCCCATCTTTGGTAAGAATGGGGGTGAGAATGTGGAGGAAAAGCGAAAGCGGGAAGAGAGTTACATGAAGCACCAGCTGGAGACAGCTGCTAGCCACAAGAGGAAAGCTATCCTGCGCCAACTGTTGGACCAAGAGTGGGATTTGCAGATGCTTCAGAGGACACAAGAAGAGTGAGAGACCCTAGATATTTCTTCTTCCTCCTCCATTTCTGGGACCCTTTGCATTTTTTGCAGAGATAATTGCAGCTGCTTCTTCTGCTTCTAACCCTTAGCTTCTCTAGTTGATCTCCTAAACTTGGAGTTAGGAGGGTTAAACTGTCACTTCCAAGCTGTATGACCCGGGCCAAATCACACATGGTGTCTTTGAGCCCTCTTTTCCTCATGTGGAAAATAAGGATAATTACACCTGCTCTACCTATCCTTACTATGAGAATTCAATAAGATTACGCATGTGGGAGCATTTTTGGAAACCGCAAAGCTCTGAACAAATAGGAACTGTGGTCTTTATCTGGTTATCTCTCTTGCTTGAGCTCTGGTCATAGACCCCTTTTCTTGTTTGCGTCAGACTTTATCTTCTGTTTCTATCTCCTTTACTGGTTATTCCAGATTCTCCCACTTCGCTTACCTTTTCCAGCTCCTGCCCTCTAGTCCATCTCAAGATGTGATCTTAGGTCTTCATGTGGCAAGTAGATGGTCACTTTCTTTCAGAGGGGATAATTTAGTTTGTGTGATTCAAATAGGCCTGCTAAAGTATTTTTTACTTGTTTTACTTTTTTTCTTTAAACTTTTCTGCTTTTGATTAAAAAAAATAACAATTCATGCTGATTAAAATGTTAATTGGTGGAGAGGTTTTAAAAAAAGACTAATAATCTCCCCCACCAAGTAGTCAGTGTTAATGTAGCCTTCTACATTTTTTTTCCTATGTTTTACAAATATATTCAAACAATACGCACATGTATTTTTTCCTTCCAGTTTTGTAAATGAAAATGAGACCTATGAGTTCTTATACATCACTCTGCAACCCAGGCTTTCCTTAATCTTATAATGTATCATTAATTTATATCTATGCTAGTACCTGTATATGAAATTCACTCTTCTAATTTAATAACAGCATAATATCTATGTTATGGATTACTATAATTTAACTTTTGCACTATTAATGAACATTCACTTTGTTTCCAGATATTTTGCTATAACAATTCTGCATTAAATATGTTCAATATATACTGGTTTTATATATAACATACTTTTTGTTTTGTTGTTGTTCCTATTGAATAAATTTCTAAAAGTTGGGTTGCTAGATCAAGTGATGGCACATTTTTACTTACTTAAATTAAAAAAATTTTATTTTTCAATTACGGATAACATACAATATTATATTAGTTTCAAGTATAATGTATGGCACACTTTAAATATTACCAGATATTGACAGTTTGCTTTCAAAAAAGGTACAGCAATTTGCTTCCACCAGAAGTCCTGTGAGAATATTAGTTGCTCCAACCCCACTTTATCTTCTTAGTTTCTATGCATTTAAATTAAACTGACTTTTTAACCTATTTTTTCAAAAATGATATAATAATGGCCAAAAAGCATATGAAAAGATACCCAGTATCATTAATCACTAGAGAAATGCAAAGCAAAACCACAATAATAGCTGCTCATAACAAATGGTTTCTGTAGTCTGTGCTAAAGTATTTTACTTGTTTTACTTTTTTTTCTTTAAACTTTTCTGCTTTTGATTAAAAAAAATAACAATTCATGCTGATTAAAATGTTAATTGGTGGAGAGGTTTTAGAAAAAGACTAATAATCTCCCCTACCAAGTAGTCAGTGTTAAGGTTAATATGTAGCCTTCTACATTTTTTTCCCTATGTTTTACAAATATATTCAAACAATATGCACATGTATTTTTTCCTTCCAGTTTTGTAAATGAAAATGAGACCTATGAACTTACTTAAATTAAAAAAATTTTATTTTTCAATTACGGATAACATACAATATTATATTAGTTTCAAGTATAATGTATGGCACACTTTAAATATTACCAGATATTGACAGTTTGCTTTCAAAAAAGGTACAGCAATTTGCTTCCACCAGAAGTCCTGTGAGAATATTAGTTGCTCCAACCCCACTTTATCTTCTTAGTTTCTATGCATTTAAATTAAACTGACTTTTTAACCTATTTTTTCAAAAATGATATAATAATGGCCAAAAAGCATATGAAAAGATACCCAGTATCATTAATCACTAGAGAAATGCAAAGCAAAACCACAATGATAGCTGCTCATAACAAATGGTTTCTGTAGTCTGTGAAATGTGCCCTGTGCAGATGAGGCTTATTCAAACCATCAGCTGTCGTCGCTTGTACTGTTCGAAATACAGGTCGTCTAGCATTTAATTATATTTTTGCCTCTCTAAGATAAGAGATGTTTCATGTTTTATTGAATATTTACTTATGTGAACCTGAGATATAGCAATTCTCCACTCCAGTGAATAAAGATGGCAGGGTAGGAAGGTGAGATTTAAAATGTTTTTTTATATAATACAATTTAATGATTTGATTCCAATCATTCATATAATGTATATATATATGTGTGTATATATATCTATCTCCTGGAGTGCCAACTCTATGGCATTCTGAATGGAGTAAGCAGTTAGCAAATTAATTGTTCATGTTTCCCCTGGAATTCATTTATGTAGATGTAGGAAGAAGCCGCTTACTATTTAAGATGTATATGTATATCAGTATATTGTACACAGATAAGGTGGCTATTTTTTTTCCTAGGGTCTTCTGAAAAGAAAATATTTATACATTTGCAGAACAGTATTATAAGATTTCACAAATGCAAAGATAGAATGTGCTATTTTTTATCTTGGATTGTAGTATCTCTGGTTTGGTTGTCTTGTGAAATATCTAAATCAAGAACAATTATAGATTTTTCTTACAAGCACATACACCATAAAACATTTAACAAATATTTATTTTAATTTTTAATTTAAAAAATTTTTTATTATTAGTTTCAAGTATACAATACATTGGTTAGACATTTATGTAGTTTATGAAACGATCCCCCGATTGCTCATTCTCTCCCCTGGCCCTCCACCTGGCCAATACATTAATGCTGACTACATTCCCCATGCCGTGCTCTCCATCCCCATGCCCATCTATCAACTACAATACGTACTACTTTAACTCTTCACCCCTTTCTCCCAGCCCCCTAGGCCCCCTCCTTTCAAGACTTCACCAGATTGTCCTCAATATTTGTGAATCAGTTTTGGGTTGTTTATTCTTTTCGTTCCTTAGATTCCATGTATAAGTGAAATCATATGGTATTTATGGTTTCTCTGTCTGACTTATTTCACTCTAGGTCCATCCATGTCATTGCAACTAGTAGGGTTTCATTTTTTTTTAAATGACTAAGTAATATTCCATTGTATATATGAACCATAATTTCTTCATCCAATTGTCTGTTGATAGACATTTAGTTTGCTTCCATATCTTGGCTATTATAAATAGTGTTGCCATGAACATAGATTTTTTACATAGATTTTTATGAATTATTGTTTTGGTTTTCTTTGGATAAATATCCAGAAGTCCAATTGTTGGGTCGAAAGGAATATCCATTTTTAATTTTTTGAGAAACCTCCAGACTGTTTTCCATAGTGGCTGCACCAATTTGCAATCCCACCAACAGGGTACAAGGGTTCCTTCTTCTTTACATCCTTGCCAACACTTGTTATTTGTTGATTATATGATAACAGCCATTCTGACAGGTGAGATGATATCTCATTGTGGTTGTGATTTGCGTTTCCCTGATTAGTTATAGTGAGCATCTTTTCATATGTATGTTGGCCACCTGTAGTCCTCTTTGGAGAAATATCTATTCAGGTCTTCTGCCTAATTATTAATTAGACTTTTTTAAAGGTTAAGTTGTATTAATTTTTTATAAATGTTGTATATTAATCCCTTATTTGCAAATCTCTTCTCACATTCAGTTGAAAGTCTTTTCGTTTTCTTGATGGTTTCCCTCACTGTGCAAACCTTTTTTGGTTTGATGTAGTCTCATTTTTAAAA